TGTTGCCAGCGGCCATCCTGGACCTGAGGGCAGAAGGAAAAGAGGACACACATATCCACCATGGGCCTCTTCGTCCATCTCACGTGATTCCCGGCATCTCTCCTTGCGGTTACTGATGGCCACACGGTACTTCCCCAGAGCACCCATCCGGACTGGTCCATTTAGATGGCTCCTGCTACTTTTATGCTTATGAGCAATGCTGCAATGACTGTCACTGTACTCAACTTTTGTGCACATTTGTAATTATTTCCACAGAACAAATGCTAGATGCAGAGTTGCTGGATCAGAAGATAGGTATGTTTCTAAGGCTTTGGATATATAGATCCTCCTTATATAATATAAGGCTAATATGCAAATAGACCGAACGGAGGAACAACCATTTGCTATGATGCGCACTGACCACCAGGGGGCAGAGGCTCAATGTAGGAGCTGCCCCCTGGTGGTCAATGTGCCCCCTGAGCTGGGCTCATGGCTGGCGAGCACGTCAGTTGGACATCCCCCGAGGGCTCCTGGCCTGCGCCCTGTCACAGTCCGGGAGCCCGGTGATAGATCACCCCAAAGAGGTAGGCCCTGCCCACTGGGGCTCCTTGATGGATCGCACCCAGCAGAGGGAGGCCCCATCACTTGCCGCAGCCCAACGGTCGGTGGCCTGGGCGTCCCTCTTTGGTGGGATCGTAGAGTCCCCCCCGCCCCCCACCATTGATTGCTCTGCTGGCCGGTGGCCTGGGCTTCCCTCTGCTGGGTGATCATGGGGCGATGGCCCGGAGGCCCTGCCCACTGGGGCTCCTTGATGGATCGCACCCAGCAGAGGGAGGCCCCATCACTTGCCGCAGCCCAACGGTCGGTGGCCTGGGCGTCCCTCTTTGGTGGGATCGTAGAGTCCCCCCCGCCCCCCACCATTGATTGCTCTGCTGGCCAGTGGCCTGGGCCTCCCTCTGCTGGGTGATCATGGGGCAATGGCCCGGACCCTGACCAATTGCATCGCACCTGCCTTGGCTGGCCTGGCACCAGCGGGTGTCATCGCATGGTTGTCTGGACGGTCGTTCTGCTGTTCAGCCATTTGGTCAATTTGCATATTGTGCTTTTATTATTATAGACGTTAGTGAGGATGTGGGGAAACCAACATGCTCATTACCAGTTTTGATTAATCTGTGACACTGGTTTGTGTGACTTTCTATCTCTCTCTTCCCTAACAACCTACTCTGTTTTAGGCATTTGAAAATAACCAAAAATGTTAAGAGAAAAAATTAGCCCGGTCAGGATGGGGGCAGAGAGTAGAAGTCCATCCTCCTATAAGCAGCCTTGCAAGTAAGTACCATATCTACCAGCCCGTAAAGTTTTTACCAGCCCAGATCTTCCCTCAGGAGGTTCCCAGAGAGGAAGGTGAGTAACAGCAATTTTCTAAAGCCGTCGCAATAAAATTATTACAAACGTAAAAATTATACGTATCATACTAATATAGTCCAGTGTAAAATTGTTATACACATGTTTCCCACTGGTCTGTGCGTGAGGGGCCTGTGGGGGCTCCGCGTTACCTTGCAGCCATCCATGGACACTTCAGGCCTGAACTGACCCCCAGCTTCGAAGATCTGCCCGTTCCAGGCCCGGAAGCGAACTGCCCGCTTGGCTGGGGCCTGCCCGGGGCCCTCCTGCCACACGGTCATGTTCAGGCAGTGGATGGTGATATGCTGTGTCACCTCAGAGCTTAGCAGGTGCAGAAAATTCATCTGGACGCGGCTGACGGCAAACTCGACCTGGGGAGGAGACACAGCCGTGGGGCGGGGGCAGGTCTGGCTGGGATGCCCACAGCTCTCAGAAGGTAAGCTCTCCTGGTAACATTTCCCAACCACGCTCCCAGACGTGTGCCCGCTTAAGAGACAGGGAAATTGAGGTCTGTGTGAGCTGGTCCAGAGCCAGGGAGCAGCAAGGAAGGGAAAGAAAGAACCAAAGCCAGAGTCGGAGCTGCGAAGGGCCCGGTGCAATCTTACCCACTCCCCTCTCCATTGTAGGGGACGGGGGTCTTTGGAGCTGAGCTGGGACCCAGAGGCCCAGAGAGGAAGAGGATCTTGCCCAAGATTGAGAGTCTCTCAGACTATAGAGGAAATGAGCAGCTCCCTTCCTACCCTACGGCTCCATATCCCTGAGGGGTGGGATGGGGTAGAAACGCCAGACCTGACCACAGACAACAGGACAGGATTTACGGCCTCATTGGTTCTAGTGTGAGGGCTGACAGCTGGGTCTGTGTGTCTGTAATGTGAGCACCTGACATAAGTGTTGACCCCACGCACTTCAAAGGCGCCGTCTCTGATCAGCACCCCACAGAGGCTCATTGTTCCCCATGGGGTGGAGACTTAGAGGGGCAGGTCCCGCTGCCAACCCAGGGGCCAACTCCGGCCTCACCCCTCTGCCACGTCACAGCCAGAGGGGAAAGGGCCTGCTGGACCAGGAGCTCCGGCTGTGGGGCTAGTGGCGAGGCTGCTGTGTTTCGTGTTGCCTCCCAGCACCTGGCACCTGGCAGGGACTCAACTGGTTGACCAGCTGGCTCCTGAAGACTCTCCAGCTCTGGGTGGGGAGTGGTCACACCACCACTGCCCTCCTTGGCTTATTGTTGAGTTGTCCTGAGCCACCTAAAATTCTCAGCCCAGAGATGGGACCTGGTAAGCGGGCAGCGAACATTCATTTAATATTTGCACGCACAGTCCTGGCGGCTGTCCCCGGGGAGCCGCACCCTGACTTGTTTTGTGCTGATGGCTCATGGTTCGCCAGGCCAGCTTGGCCAACGACGCTGCTTTAGGTATTAGGCAAAAAGTGCTACTTGAAGAGAGAACCGTTGGCATCAGACAAGTCCAAGGGGTTTGGATTTAAAACAATTCATCCTCAACTTATAGGTGAAGGAACTGACGTTCAGAAACGAGAGATGACTTCCCCAAGGCCCGGCAGCCTGGCGGGGGCGGGAGCAGACGGGTACCTTGGAGGCTGTGATGGGCTTGAGACACGTCTGTCCACCATGCGTGAAGTTGCAGGAGACTTCGATGGTGTCGGACGAGCAGCCAAGGTTCGGATCCACCCAGTAGGTGCCTGCAGGGAGCAATGGGGTGGTGGTGTATGTGTGTGGGAAGGAGCCCAGGGCTTGGTTCTGAGGGCCCCCCCCCCCACCTTGTGACCCCTGAGCTCCACTCGGATATGAAGTCAGGAACGGGGGAGCAGAAAAGGGATTCGTGAGCCACAGATCTCTGAGCAGAGGCCCTGCAGGGGCACCCAGCTGAGCACGAGGCCTGTGGCTACTGAGAAGTGTCCACTTTCCCTCAGGGACACGAAGGTAGAGAGGCTGAGCCACTTGCCCAAGAGATTGAGGGATGATGGAGTGGAACGGTTTCTCCATGGAGGCGAGTGATCCTCCTAGGTTGGCTGGGGGACCCTAGATGTCCCGTTTTGTTTTTTTACTTCAAAATAAGATATGTGCAGTGTGCATAGGAATTTGTTCATAGTTTTTTTCTAAACTATAGCCCAGCCCTCCAACGGTCCGAGGGACAGTGAACTGGCCCCCTGTTTAAAAGGTTTGAGGACACCTGATGTAGTGGAATGGTTTCTCCATGGAGGCGGCCCAGCTGAGCACGAGGCCTGTGGCTACTGAGAAGTGTCCACTTTCCCTCAGGGACACGAAGGTAGAGAGGCTGAGCCACTTGCCCAAGAGATTGAGGGATGATGGAGTGGAACGGTTTCTCCATGGAGGCGAGTGATCCTCCTAGGTTGGCTGGGGGACCCCTAGATGTCCCCCAAGTATTGAGAACTTGGAGCTGTGGAGGCTGAGACCTCGGGCTGAGCCAGGACCTCAAGGAGCGAGGACACCTGATGTAGTGGAATGGTTTCTCCATGGAGGCGGGTGATCCTCCTAGGTTGGCTGGGGGACCCCTAGATGTCTCCCAAGTATTGAGAACTTGGAGCTGTGGAGGTTCAGACCTCGGGCTGAGCCAGGACCTCAAGGAACTGATGGCTCTCCACTCCCTCTGCACCTACCCCACCCCCTCTGCACTTCTTTCACCCCCTCTGCACCTGCCCCCACCCCTCTGCATCTGCCCCCACCTCCTCT